TATGTGTGATATCCAATTTCAAATGATAACGTTTTGAGTACAATGTAGTTACTGAAACAGCGTTTGTATAATCCACTTATTAAGGTGAACGTAAAAATATCTGTAAAACCATTCATCTAACAGCAACTGATGAAGTTTGTTTGTTAGCTTGCTATGGCTGTTGCGCCTCTGACGGTTGCATCCAAAAGTACTGATGTTTTGCATCCATAAAACGTTCGCCAAACATAGCATTGACGTTGCCATACTATTCGTTATAAATACAATGCTACTACTATCTTCATTAGTATTTTTCCAAAATATCTTCTTACACTGGGTTTTCTATTTTCATTTATTTCAATTCTTCTGTTTTCCAATGTCTTAGTCTGTTTGCTTGGACTTTTTCCCGGCGATGACAGAAGCTTTCGTACGGTGTGATAGGTCTCAACAGCAGCTGCGCATCTGGTTTGATCGGATCGCCGCTGGCAATCCTTTTCCACCGATAAATTTAGCGATTACCGAATTAAATTTTTCAACGCAATTGTTTTCCATATCGTAGATCAAACCGTCCGCATGCCGAACTAAGTAATCTTTAAAATTGCATAATTGTTGATACAAATCTAAAACAAAAAAATATTCTAATATTGTATGAATACGTAATACTTTTACCTCACACGTACCATTTAACTACGTCATTTAAAATATTGCTTGAGATGTAATCATTATTGCAAAAATAAGCTAAACATTTGCACTCTCGATGCTCGTCAAAAACGTGACTAAGGGAGTTACCGATATCTCTCTTTAAATTATTTATTTTTTCTTCAAGGGATGTTCCTGCATTTTCCCTGTTTGTTATGGTCTTCGTTATTCCCCACCGTAATCTTAATTGATTTTGCTACATAAATTAATAATGTTAAAAAAATTCCTTTAGGTACCTATGTAAAAATTCAAATAGAACATAAATATTACTCGTTTTTCTTACCTCAATCATTTTCCGTAAATTTGCAGACCTTCTATTGCGCCCTGAACAAATTTTCCTGAAGTAATTTCGCAATAAATGGTTTTTACATTCGATTTTCTTCACTTTATGTGCTTCATTCGGGTGTACTAGCAAAGAATTTTTATAAGCAATACTCTCCATCGGCTATCCATCAGGCCATCCATTGCTATACTTATTTGAAACCCCTCTGCAATAATGTTAGCTTCCATATTTGTAGAAGAGTGGTGGGTCTTGGGCGTAGTTTTACTTTGTTTCTTTTTGGAATCGCAAATCATACAAAATTTGTTTCGGACACCCATAAACAAAACCTTTTTTGTGTGAATAGCCGCAGTTCCAGATCCGGAACCTGTCTACATTCTGCCCAGAACAGCATCTTTGTTTATATTACTTTTAGACGGTTTTGCGCTGGGAATTGTAAACGAGCCATTACAGAATGTACTTAACATTTAAATAACACATAAAACCGGTTCGTTCCTCATCGATAGTTTTCATGTTTTGAAGCGTATCGGGTGATCCAATAAGACTGTTCCTCGGCCATATCTCGAGAACCTTGAGTCATATGACAGGGGTGAAAAAAATTATTGGATAAATCGGTCATGAAGAATCGCTGGAAAATATTTTCAAGTTCTAAAAATGACCAACAGAGGGCGTAACTGCCATCTTAAATTTTAAAATTGCATTTTCTTTCAATTTCGCATAATAACATAACATTATTTTTTCGTATTTTTAAAGAGAACCAGTTTATCTATCATTTTCGTAAAAACAAAACTCAGTTATTTCAAAAACAAAGATGGTGTGGGGCGTTCAATTGTTTTTGCAATAACCTGCTTTAACTTCTTAACCGTTTGGCCGATTTTAACAAATTTGGTATTGTTGAAAAGAGCATTCGTTGGGCAACAAAAATCAACCAAGGCCAAAATAATACCAACCCACGAGATTAAAAAAACGCAGGACAATATTTGAGTGAAGGTGCTCGGAACGCAAAACTTTAGAAATTTCGCAACTTTGGCTCGTTTCAATGTTTTTTTCCCCTAAATAAATCAGAAAATTGAATCTGCGCATGTTCGCATTTTAAAATTCGCTCTTTAACATTTACAATTTTAGAGATAGTAGTTTATTTGGCACCACTAGGGTCAAGGTATTCAAACTTTGAGACTCGTGGATCACCCACGTAAAATATATGCGCTTTTTACTTGCTAAAACAGCATCTCGTGGGGAAAAAATAAGTTCCTAGTCAAAAGCGACCGTTGATTTTATTTAAAATTTCAATTAAGGTATTGGTGACTAAGATACAGAGGTGTTGATCTCTACCTGTTATCGCTTCACGTAACAATATTCGCGCAGTATTTGTCGAAAGTTAAAGCGGTGCGGTTGTATGTAGCATAGTTTGACTTCAATAGTAAACGGACTGAATGGTAATGGCGCCCTTTTCTTAAAGAAACTGAACTAAGAAGGCCAAGGGTGAGTTATTTCTATTTTTGGCTGTATGTCAATTCACTAAACCCCAAAAATGACGTCCTCTGCTAAACTACAAACGAAAATTAATATAAAATACGAAAATACACTCAAATTTAAATTTGTTTTCTTTTAATTCGCGTTCCGGGTCCGCGAGGTGACATATTTATACAAACATTCTTCAACGTGACAATATGGTCCCTATCTTCAACCCCCTTCGAGTAACCGTTACAACCCCCCATTTTTTAAATGGGAAATATGGGCTTGTTATCACAAGCGGACAAGGTCTCTTCATTTTCTCTATTCAAAAATGTTAAGGTTTTTAAATACAGGCTGATTCAAATTCGAGGGCCACCATTGGGATCTCGGAAACTGCAAGAGATATATAGGTAGGTAGTTTAATTTAGCACCCCCCATAAAGTATCCTCGGCAAAGGAGGTCTCTATAATTATTTCTCTATTACCCTAGCACTCTCGTAATGATCTTTCAAAAAAGTTACTGAATCTTTGTATAATAATACTGGAGGTATTCCATACGCCTCGGACTCCCGGTACTAAGTTTTTCCTTTAAATTCACCCTTCAAAACTATCATGATTGTTTTCGGAAACGGACAGTCTCATTTGGTCTTTGGTCTTTTCTCTAAAATGATCACTTTAGTGCTAAAACTCAATGTTTTCGGTGAAGAACGTAATACAGGGAGCAGGGAGCTCTGGGGGGAGGGGATATACAAACCTCCCAGCAGAGAGACTACCCTCATCAGCAAAGTAGGACTCGATAACTCTTTCTCTATTATCCTAGCACTCTCGTGATGGTCTTTGGAAAAAGGTAATTGCGAGGGTAATTGACTCTTTGTATAATAATAATGTGGGAGAGGGTATTCCATATCTCCCAGTCCCCCTTCTCCGGTGCTAGTTTTTTCCTGCAAGCAAAACTATCATGATTGGTCTGGGGCCAAGACAGTCGCATTTGGTTCATTCTGAAAATTATCGTTTTAGGCTTAGAACACCCCCCAGAGAAAATATCCTCCAGTAAAAGAAGACTCGATAATCCTTTCTCTATTACTATTACCCTAGTCCTAGTAGTCTTTGGGAGATGATAATTGATTCCTTGTATAATAATGCTGGGGGCCATTGGAATCCCCCCCCATAACTAGGTTTCTCGCCTTTCAAAACTATCATGATTGATTTTGGGAAAGGACAATCGCTTCTGCGGTTCTAAGGTTCTTTGGTCTTTTTTCTCGGAAATTATCGTTTTAGTTGGTAACACTAAATGAAGATGGTATATTACCGGCTGGTGAAGTTCTGAGGGATATGAATACCCCCAGAGAGAGGAGAGAGGTAGTGAGTTACCCACAGCATTCTTCTATTACCCTAGCACTCTCATAGGTTAGCGTTTGGGGTATGAAATAACCTCCCAGGCAGAAGAGGATAGAACCCGAGTAAGCGTCAGATAATCTTTTCTCTATTACCCTACCAGTCTCGCAGTGATCTTTGGAAAAAGGTAATTAAACATTACACTAAATGTTTTCGGGGCAAAACGTAATACCGGAGGGTCTAGGGGGAGGGGTATTCCATAACCCCCAGCAGCGAGAGCACCCTCAACAATGGAGAACTCCATAATTATTTTTGTATTACCCTAGCACTCTGGTAATAATAATACTGGGGGGTATTCCATACTCCCCAGACCCCCGGTATTATAGGTTTTTCCTTCCACACTACAGAACTATCAAGATTGTGATGAGGACAGTCGCATTTAATCTTTTCTCAAAAATTATCGTTTTAGTGCGAACACTCAATGTTTGGTGGGGGGGGTCTAGAATCCCCCCCAGCTGGGAAAGTACCCTCAGCAACAGAGAATTCGATAATTGGCCTTGACATAGTGCCTTCACACACTACACAACTCGCGATTTAGTTCACACTTTTCCCGCCTTCCACATGGATTTAAAAAATACTGCAATTTACTGATGAGACAGTACTCGTATATTGTTATGTCTACTACAGGGAGCATTGATAAACAGTACGCATACGGGAATTAATTTGGCGACGTAGTTGGTTGTCCGTTTTTCGTCGGTCAATAGCGTGGAGGTGCGGATCGCTTAAATAAGTGAGTTAAAGACGCGGCTGTTCGGGTGATTTATCAATGCGTGGTTGTTCTTTCAACGTACGTGTAACAGCATTTATTTTGCACGCCCAATGTGCGCGTTTAATTTTTTAATGCACCTGAAATCTAGGTCTAGGGACCACTATCCGAAAAAAAATACAGTTAAAAATATGCCTTGGATCGAGCCTCAGACCTTACTCCATATCATTGTAACTGGGACTAATTTCAGTTCATCACTTTTAAACCATGATGCCTCAATCTTTTATTTACCCTAATTTTGTTTAAAAAAAACAGTACAGCAAATTGAGTTGCTGTGGAGTGGGGTTCGTATTGCTATAATAAGACTGGACTGTGTTTACCTTCCAGTTGGTCCATAGTGCAAACCATACTCCATATGGTCGATATGCACAAGACAAAAATATAACAGGTTTACCAAAAGTTAGTTTTTATTAATAAATTAACAATACAATCTTAAACATTACTATTTATTGTTCATTATACATATAAAAGTGTAAATATTTCAAATAATCATCTGTGTTTCTTAGGGGGTTTATTTTCTTTGAGAAGTTGCAAGGATTGCTCTGTAAATATAAACAAATAATAGTAAGGGTCAAACCAATATTAGCATTTAAATCAAATTCGTTAATAATGCGCAAATCATATTACCAGTGGCCTGAAGTTCGTCTACTTCAGCAGTTGTACTTGTTTCAGTTGAACTACCACAATCATTTCCGTTTCCATTGCGATAGTGGCATTTCTCTGCAGACCAAATGTCAGTAACATTCTCATACATGGTATACACTTTGTGCTCGTTTGGTAAGTTACACTGATCAGCAACTTTGGAAAAAGTCCTCAGTAAAAACTCCTTATCCTTTGCTTCCAGCACCAACATATCGCGTAAAATATCAACTATTCCTTTTTGTGCGATTGCTTTCGCCCGTAAATAGTAAACCACGACACTTAAAGCACAATCGCACAGTGTAAATACGAATAAATCACATGCTTACCACATGGCAAGAAGCATGAGTGCTACCGCGCCCGGTTTCGTAAAGTACATTAGAATTCTCCAAAACACGTTATGCTGTTCCAGTTGAAAGATCCCTTTAAGAATCAACTCGTACATATAAGTGTAATTTCGCATAGGCCCACATGCTGAACTCTTAACACTACAATATACATTAATCACTGATAAATATATTTGCAGGCAATTGATACTCACTCCACCACTATGTATCCCAGTGTAATTATGACGAGAAGCAGCGATAAAAATGACAAAATCAAAAACAAGGTTTGCGTTTGAGCCGCCTTCCACGATTTCGAGTAGGGCTTACAAAACTTCAAAGTGCAAGTCCGTCGAATATACCAAGACAGCCACAATTTAATCACCACGACGACGGCTAACAACGGCGAAAAATAAAATCCGACCCAAAATAACGTTTGGTTATACAAGAGCTGCAACGTGTATCTCGCAATGTCAAACGTGGGCGCGCCAATTCCCCTCCAGAGCTTTCTAAAATGTTGCCATTATGACTTTAGGGAAAAAATATCTATAATCAAACGCGTCAAAGAACTTACGTATATATTGAGTAACAAACAGCTTCTACAACTGAAGTCAGAACAATCGAAAAGAAAAAGTCAAACAAAATCAAACGAAAAATATGTTGTCCTATTGCAGTTTCCCAACATTTCTACAAAAAAGTAAAAATCTAAAAATCATGCGGTGCAGTTTAAACAAAAAAACGCATGGGAAAATTGTTAACCAAAAAATTGAAGAACCAAAACGGCCAAAACAAAGGTTTTCTCCAAAAGATCGTACTGTCCGGATTTTCAAATTCCTCAATTGTGAAGTGGTAAAAATTTGGGGAAAATTTTGCCCCGACAATTTTGGAAATATTTTACTAGCAACGGTTTTCACACCTTTTACGCAACTAATCATAAGCGAAAAATAACTTACTTGTTTTGTAGACTGCTTCAACCAAAATCCAAGAAATGTTCCCACAAGGACAACCTTTAATAAAAAGGTCCTGAGCAACGTAACATATAAGGCAGCACGTGGATGCTTGTAATCCTCGTAGCTATAAATACACATTTTTTAACATCAATCACAAACTTCTCGCCACACTTACCGTACGATAAATCCAAATACCAACGGGAAGAGCAGCATGATGATATTGATAACGACAGCAATAATAACGCCTATGCTGGACGATGATTGACTTAAATGAGCTGTATTTTCGTTCAACAATAGCCATAGCATGTAACCGACTCCGCCCAGAAGAAATATAACAATAACGTTACAGACAAATTGTAAAACCACCGTATAGAATTGTTGTAGAAAGGGCACATGTTTAACAATTTGAAATGACTCGCTAAGAAGTTCCTGAAATAATCAAAATATAATCAATTGCTACTGTAGAATAAGGTCTTGTAATAGTTTGTCGCAATCTACAAACTAACGTACTCGCGATAGTGGTTTTTACCTCGTGTAACATTTAGCATTTTCCACCGAGATTCAGTCATACTTATCTAGCAAAAAGTGGTAACAATTGACACAAGATGTGAAAGAGAGAAAACCGTTAAGAGAGAAAGTCAATAAGTACTCGCAGTTGCCGGAGGCGGCGTTAGAGGAGAGACTAGCAAGCAATTATACATAAGTTCTTTATTTCAACTGTAAGATGTCGCTGTAGTTTTAGTTGTTGTTGAAGTAGCCCACATTAAATTGCAGTTTAGTTATGTTTTTTGTTTTGAGAATTTTTATTAAACTCTGAAAATAATGCAGCATCGGTAGAGTTTTATAAGGTGTGTTCATCCTCCCCCCCCCCCCCCCCCCCCCTTCCCCACTTCATTTTCAAACGTCTAAGGAAAGGCTAATGCAAATCTCCCTGTATATTAATTCGAGTTTAGCGCATTTTTGAAGAATTAAAAAAAATGTGCTATTGTTTGCGTTTTGTCCGTCCGTCCGGACCCACTTCTACCGTTTTGAACTACTTCTAGGGGAATGGTCCTAGAGGCCTGGATTTTTTTGCAGTAGGTAGCCTATACCTTGAAGGTGTGCCAGACGGCCATCAAATATCGCTGTCTAAAAGGGCCCCCCCCCCACGAGATGCTGTTTTTGAAAGTAAAACGTGCATAACTTTTACCTACGACAACCAATTGGTGTCAGATTTTGCATACGCATGCATTTAGTGGTGCCAAGTTAAACTTTAGAAAATTGGGGGAGGGGGGGGGTAAACACATTTCCTACCCTTCATGGTATTCTAATGACAGATCTCATCGAAATAAATTGGTTTGTACAAAGTATAACTTTCCTGTGCGACTCTTTTTCGAGATCAGTGAGCGACGGGGCCGGACT